TCGGTTCCCCAGGAAGTTCAAGGAAAGCATAGGGGGTAATACGAACATCCAGAACACACATGGGAAGTATGGGGGAGCCTGGAATTTGTGTCGAATGATTTGTTTGTTCTCGGGCCGCTTCAAAGGAGGGGGATGGGGCCCGAGGCACAAGGCGGCCAGCCATGACGGGGGTCTTTACCCCCCTTTGGGGCGCATCGGCATCAGCACCCTTCTCGAGAGACCGTCGATACGACGGGTTCGCCCAGGGGGGTAAGGAAACACAGCTCCTGGAGGAGGAAAAGGTACCCATACCACCACTACCCTCGCCCCGTTTTCGCCTTTTTGAGCTTCTCGGAGGCTCTAGTCGCAACCGCCAGATTCGCTTCGGAATTTTCGTCAGAACGCATACTGAGAGAGGGCTGGGGAGTAGCAGTACCCGTACTTTCCGCTTTCCCCAAGACCGTCGATACGACGGGTTCGCCCCGGAGGGATAAGCAAACACAGCGCCCCCAGTTGTGGCCGGTCGGCAGGGGTGGACAAGGAGGGTGGTCTTCTTTTCTCTCTTACTCCCTACTCTCTTTTTTTGTTGTTTCTCTCTCTCTCTCTCTTTTAATGGCAATCGCTCCACTTGCACCCATCCACACACCTCGATGATGAGGAGGAGGAGGAGGACGACGACGACGACCGACCATAACGACGTCGACGGCGACGATAGACGCCGGATAACGGCGACGATGGACGACGACGGACATCGGACGACAACGAATGCAGCACGACGACGGACGACTGCCACGACGGACGACCACGGACGACTACGACGACGAGGGACGATTGCGGCGACGACGATTACGATGACGACGATTACGACGACGACGACGACGACGATTACGACCGCGGACGATTACGATGCACGAATGGGCGACGAGGGACGAGGACGACCGACGCGGACGACGACCGCGACGACGACGACGACGACGACGCCGGCCGCGACGAGACAGACGGTCGAAGGGCGCCGTCGCGGCGCGCCCCCGCGGGGCCTCTCAGGGCGACTGGCAGCGCCACGTCGCGTGGCTGCAGGACATGCACGGGGCCCGCGGCGCCAGCGGCGCCCACGAGCCCGGCGGAGGCCGCCGGCCTCGCCGCCGCCGATGCCGCTGTCGTCGCCGCGGCCGCCTCGGCCGCCGACGCCGTTTCTCGGACGGGGCCTCGGACGAGGAGGAGTCCGTTCCGGAGCGCTGCGGCTCGCGCCCGGAGCGTTCCGGAGCGCTCTGAGAAGGCCGCGGCGCCCGAGACATCCTCTGGACCCCGGGGGGTCTCAGAGACTGTCGATTTCTCCACATCCGCTTGAATCATTATTATTATTATTATAATTGTTATTATTATCATTATCCTTATCCCTATGCTTATCCTTATCATTATCCTCGTTCTGGCTTCGTTTTAGTTTTGTGTAGGCTGGTCCAGGGGTCCGTTTTGGCCCCAGGGCCGTGAGAGAGGCCGGGAGGATGAGCAAGAGCACGGTCCTGGGGGAGGGGTCCGAGGAGGCCCGGCAGAGGCATGACGGCGGATGTTTGGCTGGTGTTCGTCGCCGTCGTAGTCGTCAGTTGTGGTGTTTTTGCTTGCGTTTCGAGAGGAGTTCTTCGCCACAGCAGCCGGCCGCAGATCGGAAAGCTTGCCGGGATGGACCTGGGGTCAGTCAGGGGACCAGTTTAACGGGACTTCGGCCGTCGCCTCCGTCGTGGTCTTCGCCGTCGATGTCGCCGTTTCCGCGGTCGTCACTGTCGATGTCGTCATCACCCTCCTGCGCGTCTTGAGAAGGCAGAGCAGGAAGAGGTGGAGGAGGAGGAGGAGAGAAAGAGATCGCACACATTGTTGAAGCTGCTGAAGGCGAGCAAGGCCTCTTCACCAAACTTGACGGCCCGTCCCTGCCTCTCGAGCTGCTCTCTTCGTTCACTTGCATGTATATTTCGTTGAGTTCCGCATCGTGGAACGTGTTGCGCCAGAGGCTCCAAGGGGTTCGGGAGGAGAAAGGCCCTGTAGGAGGAGGAAGGAGGAGGTTGAGGAGGAGGAGGGGGAGGAGGAGGGAGGAGGAGGAGGAGAAGGAGGAGGAGGATCGGCTGCTGGGCTTCCGTAGTTCCAGAGGCGGTACCGAGATGCGGGCTCGCGAGATTTCAGCCTCCGAGGGAGGAAGAGGCTACCCGTGCTGTGAACGCAGGCAAGCGACTCGGTGGAAGAGTTGCCACACCGCGGCTGCCGTGATAGTACACACGCGCATGCACAGGTACGCGGGCGCCGAGGCGGGTGTCCGTGACGCCTCTCCCCGTTCTCCGTTCCCTGCCCATGTTGCATGCTGGCTGCGCGCTGCCCGAACTAGGATCCGAAGGACGGCGGCGGCGGCGGCGGCGACGAAGACGGCGCGATGGCTCGCGACGACGGCCCAGACGCCCGATGCCATGTTTTTTTCGTGGCACGGGGCACGGCCCCCCAGACCTGTCCGAGCTCCCCGTGAAATGCCCCCCCCCCCCGCGTTTTGGCTCAAGGAAAGGTCTGGCGCCAGCGCGCCCGCTCAGGCAACGGACCAGAAGCTGGCAAACCGGCCGCCTCATCTCTCGACCGCCATGGCGGAGTCCAAGGTCAAGGACATGGGCCTGGCCGAGTTCGGCCGCAAAGAGCTCAGCCTGGCGGAGCACGAGATGCCAGGCCTGATGGCGGCCCGCAAGGAGTTCGGCCCGAAGCAGCCCTTCAAGGGGATGAACATCAACGGGTCTCTGCACATGACTATCCAGACCGGCGTCCTTATCGAGACCCTACATGCGCTTGGGGCTAAGGTGCGTTGGTGCTCCTGCAACATCTTCAGCACCCAAGACCACGCGGCGGCGGCCATCGCGAAGGCGGAGACATCTACGGTGTTCGCATGGAAGGGTGAGACCCTGCAGGAGTACTGGTGGTGTACCGAGCAGATGATGACAGTGCCAGGCGCGGACGGCTGCGACCAGCTTGTCGACGACGGCGGCGACGCGACGCTGCTGATCCACAAGGGCAAGGAGTTCGAGGAAAAATTCGCGAAGGACGGATCTCTGCCCGATCCTGCCAGCACGGACAACGCAGAATTCAAGTGCATTTTGCAGTTGTTGCGAGATTCCATCCCGGCCGACAAGACGAAGTACACGCGCATGGCCGCGAAGTGCAAGGGTGTCAGCGAGGAGACCACCACTGGCGTCCACCGGCTGAAGGAAATGGCTGCGAAGGGCGAGCTTTTGTTCCCAGCAATCAACGTGAACGATTGCGTGACCAAGTCCAAGTTCGACAATGTCTACGGGTGCAGGCATTCGCTGCCAGATGGCATCATGCGTGCCACGGACGTGATGATCGGGGGCAAACGTGCGCTGATCTGTGGTTATGGTGATGTGGGCAAGGGTTGCGCGTTCGCCATGCGCGGTGCTGGAGCCAGGGTGTTGATCACTGAGTGTGACCCCATTTGTGCGCTCCAGGCATGCATGGAGGGCTTCCAAGTGGTTACGATGGAGAGTGTCGTCAGCGAGATCGACATCTTCACGACGACCACAGGCAACTTCAAGATTATCACGCTGGAACACATGAAGAAGATGAAGAACAACGCCATTGTCGGCAACATCGGCCACTTCGACAACGAGATCGAGATGGAAAATCTGGAGAAGTTCGCAGGCATCAAGGTGGAGAACATCAAGCCGCAGGTTGACCGCTACGTCTTCCCAGACGGGCACGGCATCATCGTCCTGGCAGCTGGGCGGCTACTCAACCTCGGCTGCGCCACTGGACACCCGTCCTTCGTGATGTCCTGCTCGTTCACGAACCAGGTTCTCGCGCAGATTGACCTGCTCACGGCGAAGGAGAAGGGCTACAAGAACAACGTGTACCTCCTCCCGAAAGACCTCGACGAGAAGGTTGCAAGCTTGCACCTGCCGGCGCTCGGTGCCCAGCTTACGACCCTCACGAAGGAGCAGGCCGACTACATCGGTGTGAAGGTCACTGGCCCCTTCAAGCCCGACACCTACCGGTACTAGTATGCTGAGCAGCGGGTTTCTTTCCCAGGCCGAGGTCATCTAGTGATTTGTTTGCAACCTAGATTTTGAAGATTCTTCGTTTTGATGTCCACCTAGGGCCGATAGTTACCACAGCGTCATCGTCCGCCTGAGTCGATGGATCCTGAGGCAGGCTGTTCGTGCCGCATTGATGAGCAGAGGGGTATCTTGTCGTTATACCGATGGGTTCGATGATAAAAAAGAAACGTCCCAAGGTACACTCTTGTTCATCCTCTATGATTTGTCACAGTCCTAGGGCCCGAGACGTACCCTGGCTAGCCGGACCTCAGTCGAAGGCGGGCGTACTGATCTTTTCATGGCTCGGGGGTGGACAGACCTCCTACCCTGACACGTCGATTAGTGAATTGTCCGTTTTCGGTTCTCGAGAGGGCGCCGCGGCCGTCATTTCCCAGGCGTGCGCCCGCCAGGTTTGGGCCCGAGGTCGTTTTCACTAAACCACGTTTTGCTAAAGGGAGGTCTGTCCACCCCCGAATGGCGAAAGATATCTAGTGGCCTTCGGCACACCCCTCCACCGGCGGAGGGTTGGTGCATCGGGTTGCGGCAACGTTTGAGCGGGGTGCGGCACATCGGGGCGCGTGTGTGTGCGCTGACATCGTCAGAGAATGCGCGCGAGCACATTCATCTGGGGGGTGCCAGGCGTCCTCCCCCCCCCTTCGTACGATCGTTCCTGTTATCTGGAAGGGATGGGGGCCTCATGGAGGCCTCTCGGAGGCCTCCCTAGGCCTTTGGGGGGCCTTTGGAGGCTTCTCGGGAGGCTTCTTGGGGCCAAGGGCTCCGAATGTTCGTTCGGCCCCCCCTCCCGGGCACCCTCTTGAAGTCATCTTGGGGGCTCTTCCGCCGTCTTGGGGGCCTCTCTCTTTGGCCGTCTTGAGGCCCTCTTGGACAGTCTTGAGACCGTTCTCGGGGGCTCCTGGGCCGTCTTGGGGCGACCTCGGGGGCCTCTTGGGCCGTTTGGGAGTGCCGGGGAACCAGATAAGCGAGAACCTCAAAAACATTCGAAAGCCAGTGGAACGCCTGACTCCTTGGGGCTCTGTTGGAAGCCGTCCTGGAGGCCTCGTGAAGCGTCTTGGGGCCACTTTGGCCGTCTGGGCGCAATCTCGGGCGTCTTGGTGCGATGTTTCGGCGACTCGGGGCGGGGGCCTACTGGGATTTTCCGTCCTGGGCCCTCCCTAATGGCCCCCGAGAGAGCCGCGCGAGGAGCCGCCAAAGGGACCCCAGGGAGCACGCGCGAGGAGCCGCCAGAGGAGCCTGGAAGTGTTGGGGGTCCTGGGCCCTGCAGGGGATCTTCGCGATCGAGGGCTTGAGGCTCAGGGGATGGAGAGGATGGAAGCTCGGGGGAGGGAGCAATCAAGCAGTGGCGAAGCGTCCCGGCTCGCCTATAGCCCCACCGAACAATGTTCTAAGAACCTTTTGTGGCTCCCACGAAATGTTCTTAGAACATGTCTGGCTGGGACTGTCATGTCTTAACACCACGGGTCTATGCTCTGAGAACATTGTGGCTGTTCTTAGTACACGTCTGGGTTCTAGGAACATTTCGCGGCATGAATATAGGAATGCCGGGACGGTCGGTCCCTGCTCAAGGCCCGACTTGAGAGCAGCCGAGCCCCCCGGAGATACGGTCGGGGCCCTGAAGAAGGAAACCTTTCGTTGGGGAGGGGCTCCGTGTTCCTTAATTGTTTCGCAGCTTGCCTCGGATTTCCCTTAGGTTTTCGGTACGAAATCGAAGTTCAACTCATGCAAAGCAAGGGGGCCTGAGGACACTCCGACTCGTGCCTCGAGGCGCGGTGGCGGATCCGGGGACGGCGGCGGCGGAGGCGGCGGCCACGGCGGCAGAAGCGACGGCCACGACGGCGACGACGGCCTCGGCAGATGCGTGTGCCGGTGCCGCTGCGGGGATTCCACCGAGCGGCTGCAGCGTGCGGCTTGTGCCCCCGGCTCTTCCTGGCATCGCTCGGACGAGTGGATTTTTCCTTCGGCGAGGACCATCGAGGAGCATCCTGGATCAGTTGGAGAAAAACCACGCACGAGACCGCAAAAAGCACAGGGAATGGACGTCCGAGCGATGGCCAGTCCTCCTCTCCCACATCTCCCGTCCACCTCCTCGTCCCGCCCCTCCCGCCCCTCTCTCCTCCTCCGTGGAGCCTCCCTCTGCCCAGCTTGCATGAGCCAGAGCCCCCTACGGCCGCGCCGCCGGGGCACGCGGGCGGGGGGAGTCGTCCTCGGCTGCGTGCGCTTCTCTCCCCCTCCTCTCCCCCGAGGGCTGGGGGCTCTGGCACGAGACGATGGGTGCACAGGCTCTCTCAAACCGTACCCAGGCGAGAGGGGCCGTTGCGAACGCGGCAGCCGCCTTCGGAGGTTGATGGACCTACCCTGACACGACGATAGGCGAACTGGCCGTTTTCGGTTCGCGAGAGGGCGTCGCGGCCATCATTTTTTGCGGGTCCAGGTCCGTCGGTTTCGGTATTAGGCAGTTTTCACTCAAGGGTGGTTTACTAAAGGGAGGTTTGTCCACCGCCGACTCCTCCAGCTGCCGCTGAACCGTCAGCGACTGGTTCTGCCGTCGGGGGATCGCTGATGGCCCCTCCCTCGTCCGCGCACCCCCTCCCCTCGTCGCTCTCATCTGCCCAGCTTGCTGGGTAGTCGAAGGCCAGACTGTCAGATTGGATTGGGCCCCACGGGCCAATCTGGCCTGGCCAAACTGGATGATTTGGGTTATTCGCCAGACTGGATTCGCGTTGGCTCCCTCGCCAGATTGCCCCCGTTTGCCAGATTGGGCCTGCCAGATTGGCGCCAGATTGGCTTCGACTACCCAGGCTTGCCCGAGCGTCTGAGAGCACGCCCACACCCACCGGCCACGGCGCCGACCTCTGCAGGCCCCCGCCGCGACGGCGACGTCGACGGCCACGGCGGCGACGACCTCGGGGATGACCGGGCGCGACGAGGGAGGGCGGCGGCGGCGGCGGCGGCGCGGCCGCGACGGCGGCGACGATTCCTGGCATCTGACAGCGCCGCGACAAGTGTTCGCTGGGAAAGTCAGAAGGGTTCCAAAGATGATTCTTGTGGAGGGGGTATTCTCCAGAGCGCCCCTCTGGGGCCTCGGAACTTTGTCGAAACAGTGGGTGCGAAGCCCCTGGGGGACCCCTCCTGGAGAACCCCCCTCCTCCTCCTCCTCCTCCTCCTCCTCCTCCTCCTCCTCCTCCTCCTCCTCCTCCTCCTCTTCCTGGAGCCCTCCGGGAAACCGCCATGGCGAGGAGCCCTCTCGCTGCCAACAAGGCCCGGCGCCTCCCCGCAGCAGCCCTCCCTGCCGGGGATCGGCACCGCGGGGGGGCCCCACGGCCAGGGAGCTTCGCGCGAGAGAGCGCCTCTATGGCGACGCCCGGAGGAGGCAGCTCCTGGGAGGCTTCCTGCGGCATCGGCGCCGTCCCCAGAGATCCAACGTATTGAAGGAATCAAGACGGAGGATGTTCGCAGATTTCGGCCCCCAGGGGCCCTCGCCGGGCCTCGGGAGCATCGAAGAATGACTCGGGAGGAAGAACTGGTCCTGGAGAATGGGTCGTGATTTCTGGCGACCCCGTATTGAACAAAAATCACGACATCGGATCTCTGGGTCCCTGATGAGCCTGTTCTCCACAACCACCACCACAAGTTGGAGGGGGGGAGGAGGAGGAGGAGGAGGAGGAGGAGGAGGAGGAGGACCCCCTCCCCCTCCTGCTTGTGGTGGTGGTGGTGGGAAGCTTGCCCACCAGTCCCCATCCCTATCTAGACCCCCACCATCTCAGCACTACAGTTGGGGATGTACCCCTCGAAGCCAGGAGGAAGCAGAGTGTGTCCCGATCTCGAGGGGTAAATCGGCCAGTGGGGCCTTTTGGCCACGCCTGTGGGGATAGAGGTCGGATATGCGATGCCCATAGTCTGGCGTTCTCCCGATCTGCCCGGCTTCGTCCCTTCTGATTCACCTGAATCCCAGGCTCTTATCCAGCTTGAGGCCCTTTGTTCGGGCTTAATAGCGCTGACTGGCTGTTCCGAGCCTTGCGAATGTGCCCTGAATTGTTCACCGCGCGGCCCCTGGAAGTCCCAGCCCACTCCCTGGGGCCAGCTCTGCATCCCGAGCAGTTGTTTGACGCCTCCGAAGGCCGCAAACAGCGAACACACATCCGGTCCTGCCGTCTTCTTTACGCAGCGAGCAGATATGAGACGATACCAGGACAAGGGTAAAGTCGCGTGAGGATATATCGAGAATCTCTGAATCTCTGAGATCTGGCGGCTCTGAAGGATGTCTCGGGCGCCGCGGCCTTCGCAGAGCGCTCCGGAACGCTCCGAAAGTGTTTCGGAACGTTTTGGCACGGTTTTATCCTCCTGCCTGCAGGAGTGGCTTGAGCGACGGCCCCAGCACGCGCGAGTGCACGCCACGGCGGCGACGGCGGGCCGCGCTCGCGGGCAACAAAAAACATGCCCGTCTCCACGGCCTCGCGGGTCGCGGGCCCCGCCCCCGGGGCTGCCTCGCAGCTGCCCCCGCGCGGAGCGCACCGCAGGAGGTTCACACGCGACGTGCGGTGTTGGCGCGCCAGCGACGCCAGCGAAGGTGTTCATCGGAGCCTCAGAGACCCTCGCCCTCCTCCTCCTCCTCCTCGCCCTCCTCCTCGCCCTCCTCCTCCTCCTCCTCCTCCTCCTCCTCCTCCTCTTCCTCCTGCTTGCCCTCCTCCTCGCCCTCCTCCTCTCCTCCTCCTCCTCCTCCTCCTCCTGTCCCTGGGAGCTCCACAGGCCAACACCCTCGGGAGCCTCGAGACGGGGGTCAATGCAGACGGGGGTCAGCCAGGGCACCGGATCCTGCAGGATCCTGCGAAGAGCCCCTCTGGCTGACCCGGGTCAGCGAGCCGCTCGTGGCCGCGAGGCGGCCGCGCCTACGCGCTGACCCGGGCTTGCGAAGCCCTGCGCGGCAGTTTTTGTTGGTCCTGCCTTTCAGTTTTTGTTGGTTTCTTGCTGACCCAGGTCTGATTGACCCAGTTTAGCAGATCCCCGAGTTCAAGGTTGAATTCGAAGACGTGGAGCCACCTATGGACATGGTAACGCCACTAGACCTGGACTGAATTCAACCTTGATGGTTCCGGGCCGCGGTCGATTCGAGGTTTCACAATCGATGTGGTGACAAAATCCTGAGCGCGCGCCGACGCCACACGAACCTACCGCAATGAATCCACGCGACCGCGTGCCCGCAGATCTGACGTTGCGAAGAGAATCCAACATCTCAAAACATCACCACCA